CAATGCAAATTCAACTGTTGTCTAGTGCGGGCTTTAACAAAATATAATCTATAATTTCATGGACAATTACATGAGATCGCCTCCTCCTTTATTGTTTTCCTCAAGAACAGCTCAAGGAATGTGTGACATATACGAATGATTGAGGGGAGTATTTCAAGTGACGTAACAAGACGTTTTTTGGTGCACTGATCTGATATTTGATCCGCTATTTGATTTGCTATCATCTTCACTGGCTGCGTCGCTGATTAAAGGTTATTCACGCAGTCTCGTGGAAACTGAGGAATGTGTTGTCGTGATACATATCAGACGGATAGTTCACGCTGGTGAGATCAGTTCGTTTCTCTGTTTGAAAGAACGTTTTAGAGGAAAGTTGGGAGAATAAGGAAGGCAAAGAATATCTACCTTAAAGAAGAATCAGCTGAAACCTACGATTCAGACCAGCTCACTTGTTTATCACGGATCAGCTTCAAATGTAGGTATCTTAATAAATTGTAACTCGGACATTCAGAGCGATACGCTTGTCATCATAATGCCGGTTTTGTTCTGGTGTTTGCGAAGAAATCAGCTACGTTGCCCTTACTTGGGATTAGCTGTCTTTCGAAAATGTGTTTTGTTGAAAGATGAACACCGTCGAGTGCTAGTAGTTGTGACAGAGTGGTCAGTTACTTACTGCTGCAATATCAACCCACGGACCTTTACGTTTTACATGTACCGTCGACCTAGTCAAGTAATACCTTTAGCTTCTTTGTAGCCTTATGTCGGTTTTAATCTTTTAGTTTTATTCTTTAGTCGCGTTTTAACCAATCTATCGCTTCTAGTGCTCAGCGATGGCAGAACTAGTCTTTATTCGCACATATGACAGAGTGACGAGACTTACAAGGAGCCTTCGGTTCCGCATTACCAATGGCTCCAAATTAAGAGACATAAACAAGTACAGCTTTTACATGATAGAGAAAGAACGATCGCTCCTTATGGACTAGTGTTTATTTTGTAAATATTTCACTCTTCGTCAACCAACAATCAATCTCCTTGGGTTTTTCATGGTGTCGCATTTGTCAGACCGATTTGAAAATTGTATTCGTTGCGAATGGCAGCTTAGATTTGGTATTGTTTACAGTAGATTTAGCTTGGATTCCAACTGATTCTGCCACGTTATTAGTACTTTTAATTTGGTTTTGTGGGGATAACTTGTTTGAAATCATTCTCACTGAAAAACTAATTATGCAGAATTGAGACAGGGTTTGACGTTAAAAGCACCGAAGGGTATTCATGAAAGCATGAAGCGAGATATAATTCGTTGCGCAGTTATCGCTAGCTCGTATTGCACGTTACTATTTATCTTTTTAGTGGAAGTTGTCGTTTAGAAACTTTCCTCTAGAAAAAAGAATTAGAAAAATCTTGAACAAACTTGGTCTTGCTTTGTAAGTGATGAAGGCGTAAAGTGTCTTTTCTGATCTATATGGGGCATATTAGCGTCTCGGATCCTTCAATTATTGAAAATCAACCTCATGAATTAAGCATTGTTTATACTACTGCTCGGATAATTTGACAGTGATATATCAGTGAAAACCCTTGTACAGTTGAACCTGGTCGAGTCTGGGTCATGTATATTTCTATACATTCTTTGAGCATCTTATCATTTAAAAGTTTTAAAATTGCTGCACATGGTTTGTTTGTTTGTTAGTTTGTTCGTTTCTGTCAATAAAACTGTAACTTGATTTCAGCATTGGTGAACAGGCCGTGATGCCAAGAGACTAGAGTCTGTTCTTAATGAAAAATTTTCAGCTTCTGCTATAATCAAATTTAGAATATAGGTATTTTCTGAAATTAAAAACAATAATTATTATGTAAACGGTCCCGTTTTGCATGCAGGTAATTGATTTGTATAGCTTAAAAAATATATTGGCTTCGGTGACCTACATCTATTGTGCAGTTTCCTTCGGGCAGAGAGATATTTCCGTCACAACTGGCTGGGGTATAAATAGTGCGTGGAAAAGTCTAAAAGGGTAATTAAATTCATATAAAGCCTTAGCTAATCAACCCAAACAAAGGTAAGTTTCTTTTCTTGAATTTATGAAGGCTTTTGATTTTTAACCGAGCTTCAAGGGGTATGGTAAAATAAAATCTAGCAGGAGGTTATTTTCTCTTCATCCTAATGAACAGTTGAGACCCTCATCGAAAGTCTTTTCCAAAATATCCTTCAAATCCCTCTTAGATCAAATGATTTCTCAATAGGTAAGAGTATCGCCTTCTGCAAGAAGTTTGGCCATAATTCGTTTTGTTTGCCGCTTTTCATGTGTTTATTTACAAAAGGCCGTCTATTAATGGTAAAAGTTGAAAAGCATGTATTTCACGGCAGCCCTAAGCTCTTTATTGTTCTTTTGCAATTGCATATTTTTGTTTTCTTGGCTGTCCTTTCCCTTTCCGTTCTTTCACTTTCCCCGATGAACCAACGAATTGAAAAAACGCAATGTGAAGGTATTTTCTGGTGATCTGTTAAATAAATAATGCATGACAACCTCCCTTATTTCATATACAATGATTACCGTCCAGTCTAACACAAATGTTACTTGCTTTAATGTGATCATCCTTCGTTTCAAGCAGTTGTTTAATCATAATGAGAACCAAATTCTATTAAGATACAAACGACTTTTTATCGTACATTTCTAATTACGCATTTCATGATTATTTCTCATTCAATTGTCTAGTTGAAAAGGAAACGAGAACCATGCCAACTGGTAGGGCAAGTGATACAACTCGTGACAAACCACTGAGCGACGAGTGTAGAAAGATTCTGAACAGTGTTAAATATTGCCTTGTAAGAGATATGGATGCAGAAGAAGTTTTACTAAAAATGGCAGCTGAGAACGTCTTTACCACGACTGAAGAAGACAGAATAAAAGCGAAGCCAACACGATCGGAAAAAAATGGGCAGTTGCTAGAAATTTTACCAACAAAGGGTACAAAAGCCTATGAAATATTCAAGAAAGTAATCCAGGAAGTTCATCAGCACCTTGCAAACATAATTTTGGAACGTGGTAAGTGTTATGACGATCACGAAAATCAATTGGTATTAAAAGAAAGCTGCATTATTACATGTCATTGTAATTTTGGAACGATGCCGCTCAATTCACCGAGATGGAGATGTCAAACCGGTTTCTAAAAGCGAGGGCCCTACACCTTTAAAGTCTTAATTATTTTTTAATGTAAGGAAATTACCCTACGATTGCTTCATATTGCAGTGAACTCAGTGTGATCATAAATTTATTACGCGAACCGTTTTTTGTAAACTTTAAACTTTTGTAAGGTTTGAACTTCAATGCGTTCCTTTCTTTCATCTCAGAAAACACGGAACTGAGAAGTAATGAAAACTCAGGGCAAGCTGACAGGGCAAGACAGGAAACTGACTCAAGTAAGTTCTTAGAGTTACTTTATTATTTACCCAAAAAGGGGGAGAGGGGGCTGACTTTCTTAGCGAGCCAACTTTGCTGGATCGAACAATTCCCACAAACGATGCTGTTCTTAACAAGGTTGATAGGTGATATCGTGGTAAAGGGATGGCAACTGCTAAAAGATTCTGTTGTCTGTTCAAAAGATAGTGCAGGAGCTTGCTGGCGGCACCATGGAATGAAACTTCATAAAAGTATTTGAACCTTTATTCTTCGGCGTTTACATGAACTGACGAGTAACAGACATTGCAGATCGCTTATGTAATAAGCTTCGTCTTTATAATTCGCAGCTGAAAACGAACTTAGAAAGGAAGTCGTTACTTTTCAACGATGTTTATCAATACTGGAAGAAGCGGGAAACTGTTGGAAGGAACTTGGAGCAGAACTTCAAATATCAGAAAGCAAACTTCGCAATATAGAAACAGATCATCAACGCGCTAGAGATAAAGCAGCTGCCGTACTTGAAAAATGGAGGGATATCAAAGGGCGTGACGCGACTGTAGGATGCCTTTTGGACGCCTTTGAAAGAAGTGGCCAAAAAAGGATTGCAGATAATTTGTTAGGTATGAAAATCTATTTTTATCGTCCTAGAAAGCGGCATGTTATGATAGACGTAGTAAATACAATATGTAAACAATACCCTTCATTTCGGTGCGGAAATTACCTGTTGCTGGCATAGCTAGTATGTCACCGAGGTTCGGTTGTAGTGTAATAGTGGTGCAAAAGTTTATTTGACTTTTTTCCTTCTCAGAGTTATGGCGAGCCGAACTGTAGGACAGTCCCTGGCCGTGAGAAAGTAAACAACCGAGTGAATTACTCAAAGAATTTGAGGAAAGCAATGCTACTTCAATTAAAAAAAAACTGCGGGAGGGCAAAGTCATATGATGGATATAATTATAGTTAGTTGAATGAATTGACAATACCCTAGATTTAATGGGCTTGAAAACATTTGCATAGGCTTCCACTAGCTTGAGAGGCAGGGAGCATTTTAAATATGTCAACCAATTAATTCTGCTTTAATGTGATATAGACAAGTTGGAGGGAAAAAATATCAGCTTTCTTCACTAAATGTCGAAAAGTTAGACAACTAATAAATTTCTCTATTATGATGTACAGGCATACTTATGCGTTTTTTAGTGAGCTGAATCTAAAAAATTTACGCCGACATTCGCTTTTATTTTCAAACTCTTTCCTCAGTCGTGTAATGTGATCTTCCGGCCGAGGGTAGTCCTGAAAAGGTCTGTTAACGGTTAAAGTGACTGAAGTTTGGACAGTTCCCATTCGAAGCTGTGAGTACCTAAAATGACAACATTTTTTGTCAAAACTGCCTATTGGATTTCTAAGCTTCTTAATAGTGCCACTGAGTACGGAAAAAAGTTTGACGCAAGAGTAACGCTGGGAACATGCAGTATGAGATATATTATAATATCAGTTATAATTATCGTAAATCTGAATGTCTCTGGCTAAGTAAACGAACGTCATCGACACTGGAACTTTTGAATCTTGAGAGTTTCCATTCAATTTCGCTTGGAGAGAGTACGACAAACGAACAACTTTTCAAAGGCGGATTTATTGTAAATCTGAATGTTCGAGACCAGAATGTTCGACCACTGTTAGTTATTATTAGGCTACATCGAAAGGTTACACAGTCAAGAAAAGATCAAAGCCATCAAACTTTGGACAAACCTACGTCACTACAGGTGTCTACATATATATCATTTGTCATAGAAGACGTTTCAGTCGGCCTTGTACTCTGTGTTCCAATACTGTAAAACAAGGTTCAAAATCGCGAGTGCCATGGCTACTTAAAAAGGCACAGTTTTTAAGACGTTTCTTTGCCTCCAAGATATTCCTACTTCTAAATTATGTCCAGCTGAGTTTAAAAGAGTATGATTAGAATGTTAGGCACATTTTGTTTAATAACGTGCTGATTGAAACGAAAACTATCGAAAAGACCACAAAGTAGTCGCCTGCTGGCGAAATTCTTGTCACAAAAAGTCCAAAATTCTCAATCGCCTCGGCGAACAGCTTGTGGCAATTTCAAACCTTATCTCATATACCACGTCCTTTCCAACCGAGCTTTCGGCTCCTATTTTATTTGCTATTGACAGCCGACGTTTATGAGAAATCTTGCCTAACCTTTCTGACTTTTTCAGTTATTTCTCTCAGCTCCTCTACATTTCCATTCCCCTCTATGCGCTCTAAAATCTTTTGTTCAATGACCCCTTTTATTGCAGCTACCTCCTGCAACAGGCTTTTCATAATTTCAAGTGGCTCGTCCCTCTTCGTGTTCTCAATTGGCTCGTCCCTTTTCGTGTTCTCAGTTGGCTCGTTCCTTTTCGTGTTCTGCTGCCTCCTGGGAAGTTCATCTACATTGTTTATAAAAGTAATATATAAGAAATACAAGTAAACTTTCCTTACTCGATTTTAACTTACTGATAAACCTAGATTAGATTAAGCGTTTTAACACGATTTAATAAAAAACGTCCCTGGAGTGATCAAAAACAGAGAAAGATACAATAGGCTTGAAAACCCTTAACTCAACAGAATCCTTATTTTGTCTCTGACATACTCTAATGTGAGTTAACCAGCACAGTATACTCTTAAACCCAATCTACGAGCGGTTTTAGACCATCAAATGATATAAAAAATTGCAACTCTTTAAATTGACCATATACGACCCATATGCCGAGCTTTTAACTGAAAAAAAAAACTAGGCAGATCGGGTTGATGATGTGTCGGGCAAATGCTCGAATATCACAGAACATCAATCGGCGATTGACAGTACAGCCTAACCCTAACCCTATGAAGAATCAGCATGTCAATAGTCTATGGAAGACTCGTAATGACTGCATGGTTTTAACCCTTTATACTCTATCATCATTATGCATTTTCTCTATACTGTTCTCTATATATTTCCTTAGGTGCTAACAAGGAGAAGTTGTTTAACAATCAGGAGCTTTTTTGGTTGGTGATCATTTCCTTTATTCTCGTGACCTTAATGTGTAATTCAGGGATGATATTGTAAGGAGAAATTGGACGCTGGTCACTCTTAGGGGTTAAAGGGTTAAGGACACTCAGAGCTGAAACTCACCTACACTAGATTGGAGTCTCGTCACGACTTGGTTCATCTCTCTAACTGTTCTGATAATTTCATGTAACTCATCCAATTGCTTTTGTTGACTTCCTGTTTCACCTCCACTTTCCTTTTTTTTTATGTCTCGTGTTCTCGATGCAGTACTGGGCATCGTCTCAGGGGAACCTCTTCTCTCGCTGGCTTGGCGTTGCGCGGTCTCGCCCTCTTTGTCGCATAATACCGAGAAAAAAAGCCAAATATAACGCTAGTAATCAGCAATTTATAGTAAAAATAATGCATCATCAAGCAAGATCACCTATCGTTAGCAAAAAAGCTGTGCGCTTGAGAATCAACACATTTCAGTATTATTTATCCGCGGGACAATAAGAGCTCATATTTTAGTGAAGGTTTCTCAAGATTGCCCATGGAGTGGCGGGGTCTTGACTGCTCTCTGTTTTCGACTCAGCCGTTAATGAAAACCATGTTGTACAATATTTTTTTGTGTGTATGTTCAAAATTTAATATAGACAAGACTCTAGTGAAATTAACGTACTGAGTTTATAACTGAAAAATTTAAGTCCGCTCTGAAGCTCTGGTGGATAGATATCAATTTTCCAGCTTGATAAAATGATTTAAATGTATAGATGCGCAGAATTAGTTACTCACTGGGATTCTCAGTTAAGCTGAGGTTAATATTTCAACCAACAACAAACTGGCATAGACACATGCCTGATCCGGTTTGTAAATCCCAAAAAGAAAAACAGCAGTAGGATTTCAGGATTTAAAACGATCACAACTTCCACAAGCCTGATACTGAGCCTCTGGAAAGGATGGTCACCAAAGACATGGTACTGAACATGAGATGAAGTGTACCTCAAACAAATCAGAAAAGGTCATCCCAATACTT